AAAAAAAAAAAAAAAAACAAACGCAGAGCCATAAACGTGCCCAGTCCAGAACCCCGTTATCACATCAATAAGAGAACCAAACCACGCCGAATGAGAAAACCCAAATAAAAACAAATAATTCACAGCTCCTGGCTAGGACCCTTTCCACTCTTGGGGGTCTTCTTGGGAAGAAGGTCTGGTTCCATGTTAGCATCAATCCAATATACGAGTGTCCGGTACTCTTACTTTGGTGAATGTTAGGCAAAACACCACCCTGGGCGATAGTGACGTGACCCAACAGCTTGTTCAACTCCTCATCATTACGAATGGCGAGCTGGAGATGGCGGGGGATGATACGGGTCTTCTTGTTATCACGGGCAGCATTACCGGCCAACTCGAGGATTTCAGCTGCGAGATACTCCAAGACGGCTGCGAGGTAGACGGGTGCGCCTAGTACATGTAAGTAAATATACTGTAAGGGACGGTGGTTGTGGGGACGCACCAGCACCAACACGCTGAGCGTAGTTGCCCTTGCGGAGCAAACGGTGGACACGGCCGACGGGGAACGCGAGACCGGCCTTAGAAGAACGGCTAGGGATAAATTAGTTTGAATAGTAGACGTAAATAGGGGAAAGGCTCATTCATACGATTGCGCGTTCTTGCTGCCGCTGGCTTTGCCTCCAGACTTGCCTCCAGTCATTTTTGTGGTTGAAAATGGTTTGACGAGATTCGAAAATATGAAGAGAAAGGGTTATTCAGGTCGTCGATGAAACACGATAGCAATGGTTTGGGTACGGTGTCAAAAGTAACTGGCCAGCGCGAGGAAGCGGCGGACATTTATAACGACGCGGTGAGGGTGACGTTGGGCCGCCTAGACGCCCTTCAGATCACCCTCTCGCTTAGCGGGGTTGGCCAATCACAGTGGAGATCATCGTCCGAGGCATCCATAGCTTGGCCAGATGCGCCTGCCATGATTCCGTGTAAAGTTGTTGTGGTATTGTTCCTAATATGGTTAAGCGTCGTAATCTATGAATATATCTTTCAATACTGTCATCTTGCTGTGATCTTAGTCATTTGTCCACGGCTGGAGACGCGTTTTCCCTCACCTAATCATACAGATCATACACAACCGTGACAGTATTGAAATTCTGCTTCCTTTGCACACCCAGGATCAACTGCACTTTCGCAGGCTAGTATAAGTAGCGCGCCTCCCTCGTCACCGCGTCTCCATCATTTCTGTTCTCCTCCTCATTCCACGTCTACATTTATCAACGATTTCAACGCCTTGACTTTCGCCATCCTTCGATATCATCGACTTTAGTTTTTTGTCAAATTTCATTTCCTACATCACTTGAACAAAATGGCACCCAAGGCTGCTGAGAAGAAGCCCAGCACTGGTGGCAAGGCCCCAGCTGGCGGCAAGGCCCCCGCTGAGAAGAAGGAAGCTGGCAAGAAGACTGCGGCTGCTGCCTCTGGTGACAAGAAGAAGCGCGGAAAGACCAGGAAGGAGACCTACTCTTCTTATATCTACAAGGGTATGTGGCAATGTTACCCTAGTTCGGAGTTCACAGGCTAATGTCAAGTGTAGTTTTGAAACAGGTTCATCCCGATACCGGAATTTCCACTCGTGCTATGTCTATCTTGAACTCCTTCGTCAATGGTATTTCATCCTTATTTTTGATGGTGGAGTCATTCGCTAATCTACTTGCAGACATCTTCGAGCGTGTCGCAACCGAGGCCTCCAAATTGGCCGCTTATAACAAGAAGTCCACTATCTCATCAAGGGAGATCCAGACCTCGTACGTCATCATCAATGTCGATTCCATGTTAGTTTGCTAATTTTTTTTAATTTCAGTGTCAGACTTATCCTGCCTGGTGAACTGGCGAAGCATGCCGTGTCGGAAGGCACCAAGGCTGTGACAAAGTACTCCTCTTCTGCCAAATAAACTGTTTTCTTTTCTTTTTTTTGTTTGTTTCTTTTATGCAGGATTGTCTTTTACTACCTCGTTATCTGTTATGGTTTGAGGTGGTGGGTACAGGGTGTTCGCGGGATTTTTAATGCGTCACGGGATGGCTTTGTTTTTCCCCATTGGGCCAAATGTTTTTCATGGTTTTATTCGAGACGTGAATGCGTTGTAACATAACTCGGTGCTCCTGGGTATGGTTGCGCAGTAGCAACTTTCAGACTAGGGTTCGAAATTTGAATTACTCTAACATATTCTGCTCTTCGATGCTTTGAGGCTAACGGGGTGGCGCCTTTCACTCGCATGCGCTTTGTTTTATTCAGCGTCATCCAACGCCTCGACTTCATCGAGTGCCTCCCTTCTGCCTTGGTTGTAAGTAGTTTCCGCTCCCTTGAGCACATGTATTATTGGCTTTCCCATCATTGAGCCTATGCGCCCCTTCCAATCGTCCCAATCATCCTCATTTCTCACAAGGAAGCCTATTAGCATACTTGGATCCATATCTTGTATATGAATGCGTCTGAGTCTGCGAGTGTGGTATGTGCTGATTTCCTCCTTGGAGGGGAACCTACCACCAGTGCTGTATGGGAGTGCGGGACGCGTGGTATGGGGATCAAGATAGAAGAGGTGCGAGCCTTGCGTGCCGATGAAGTAGTGAGACGCGGAAGGACGACCCCTGTTGCACGTCAAGGGTATCAGCATTCTTTTGTTACCAACTATGGCCAGGCGCTGGGGATGTAGACATACCCTGCGATGCCTACCGACTGTGGCAATTGCAAGACAGCTTTGAGTCCCTCCCAGTACACTGGCGTGACGTTGTCGATTCCTAGCCGAGTCCCTAGCAGTATTAATGTGGGTTGTATACTGCCCGAACCACTGCGAGCCACTCGCAAGAAGCTATCTTCGTAGACGTCTGAGGTATCGTTTGTGACATATACTCTGGGCGCTATGTTTCCACATTGTGCTGAGAGAGCCCTGTTCACTGGTAAGTCTCGTGCTCGGGCGGCTGAGTTATTTAGGTGCATACTCTATACATCTAGCGGTTGCTGACGGTCCAAACCACTCCCCAGGATGTTTACCACATGACTCGGCGCCATGTTTGACAAATCGATGTATCGAGAGGGGCGCGTCTGGATGATCAGCAAATAGAGATAGTAGATGGGCCTCTTCTTCCGATTTATCCCCGCGGCGCCAGGCTAGGATATGTTAGCATGAGGATTATATTGAAGGAAAGGGTTGTGTCGGAGTTATATATATATAGGGTTAAGAGGGCGGCGGGTCATACCACGGCCTAGGCACAATGTAAGCATTGCATTTGCTAGCAAGCTTTGCCCTGATCTGATCATGCAACCCCAGCCTGTGTCTGAAGTGAAGCCTTGAGGGTCCATTAGCTGTGTTCTCAGGCGTACAGTTAGCGTCATCGGATGATTCGCTTCATCGTTGTCCGGTCTTGGTATTGGGGGGAAATTAGATCGATATGTCATCCAGATCTTCGACTCGAAGTCCGAGACGAATGCTTCTGGCCATCCATGTTCTGTTACATCGTCTATGGTGTTTGTTCCAGCGTCAGGCTCATCCCTATCTATTCGCCCACACATATCAGTCATCTTCCGCCCATATAAATGGTGATGGTAGAACAATTTCCTATCTTACCGGGTGTTCTGTTTGCTGCATATTTCTTAAACCGCGGGGCATACTCTACTCCCAAGCACCAGATAGAGGCATCTGGCTTTTGATCATTCCTGGGCTCGGGATCCCATAGGTATTGTACAATGCGTTTGCTGCACCGCCCTATGTCTACACTGTTCATCTTTTTGGGGTGTGATCAGTGTGTTTGGGACGGCTGTACTGCTGGTATTTGTTTCTGGGTATTGTGGTTGTTGAGGTGACGTTCACTGGCGGTTTGTGGTTGGCTAGGTGGTGAAGTACAGTTGGTTAAATACATATATATATATATTTTATACACATGCACCTGGAGGTATATGTAACTAGCCTTCTTGGCCCAAGAAGTATCTCAAAATGGCCCGAAAGCAAGCACAACAGGAAATACCAGACAAGGACAGTATCGCATATAAGTGATAATTACTAGTGATAGTTACTCAAAGAAACTTCCATCCTATGATGATCTGAGGAGGGGCCACAACTGCACCAGTCACGAGATACCTACACAAACTACCCATCCCAAATCATGCAAACGTCATTGCTAGACCATACTAGTAACCAACACGTGTACAGACTGATCTGAGGAGAGGTGGTTGCGTGTCGGACATTGAAATGCCAATCATGCCCAGACTATCTATTATTTTAATTACCACTCCTATTCCTTTCATTGTTTTTCTACTCTGAAAAGAGGGGTGTCGGGGGTAGCTCGGTACTTAGTAAGCTTGAAGTGACTTGTTATAAGTTCCGTCAGTACTGGTAAGCGGCTCGATCTCAGTATTCCATGGATAGAAAATGGCACTTTCATAACCCCAATATATCTATAACTAGAGACGATAGCTATCTAAAATCCGATATTTGGACTAATACACCGCCATAGGGATATATTTCAAGCACAGAAGATATCATACTCTATATATTATAAAGTGATATAAATTACAATGTATCTTTTGTATTTTATATATTATTGTAGTATAGAGCCTTAAAAAGAGGGCTAAAAATATTTAAAAATCCGTATAATATTAAAATAGACTATGTATATGCCTATTAGATATTATATTGCTATCCCCTTTAATTGTTGAGATATTTGGACTCTAAAAAGTGCTATTTTCTATGCTCTCCAGAGGCCGCTTGCCAGTTCCGTTAGTTAACGTAACTGGCAAGCACCCTGCGCACGCAAGTACCCTGCGCAGCTCTATAATCTATATAAATCAGCTACTTTTACTACTTGAATATCTCAACAACTATGGACTACAATAAGATAAAATTTGGATATAGTATATAATAGTACTTAGTCCTTAATATATAAAGTAGAGAGTTTTAGATAAGTTATGTATCCTTCAATATTATATATTACAGCGGTATTTTTGATATTCTTAATTTATACCATAAAGTTGAAAGAAAAAATTTAGAAAAAAAAAGAGTATTCCTATTTATTCTATACTATATTATATATTTAATATTATAACTTTACAATCTGTGGTTGCTGAGATATTCAAGTGGTAAAAATAGCTGATTTGTATAGATTACAGAGCTGCGTAGGGTACTTGCGTGCGCAGGGTGCTTGCCAGTTACGTTAGCTGTTAGATACACCTGATTATTAAGGTTGCCCCATGCACAGGTTTTACAAACCCATGCTGTACCCCATAAATTTAGCCAAGTTCAGAAGTACGTCGACACATCCAGAACCAACCAAATACCAAACACTTTTCGAAATGACTCGTCACAGCAAGGCGAAAGCGCGAATCAAGAGGCAGAAGCCGACGATGAAGTCCAGTATAGGTATTGCTGCTCCAGGAATGATTAGCGTTAGGTCGCTTATTAGCTGACTTCTCGAAGACCACCAACCAGGGCACCTGACGATGCAGCAAGAAGCAAGGAACACAGAGGGTCGGAATCTGTGGCGCACTGGCTCCAATCTACGCCATCAAGGAGTCCGTTTTGTGAGCGCAGGCAACACCCAGCGAGATGAGAATAACGAGAGAGAGGCTCATGAAGGACGCGGTCCCTGGACAGAAGAAAGCAACAAGCAACCGCCCACAAGAGGGGCCGAGCTAAAGGAGGATGCACAGGACTTGAAAAACGAACCAGCAATGCCCGATGCGCCATTCTTTATTGACTCATTAGGCGAAACTGGTGCACACACTGGGTTTGCAGACCCCGTCACCGCATTATCATTATCCGAGTGTGACAACTCTAGTGAAGATGAAATAGTGTTCTATGGGCGGCGTAGACTCGAAGAAAGACCTCGTATCATCGTTGAAGGCCACGCAGTGAAGGCTTCCAAAACAAGTTACCACTCGCCAAAAGAACTCGAATCGCCACCCGACGCAAGGCTACATGCACCGGAGTCCAGGGTGTGTCCGGTATCCGATGGCATATCAACATATGAGCTATCACAGAGAAACCCACCAACAGCGGAAAATATCGGGCAGACGAAGACTGTTATTCCATATGGAGAGAAAGTTGCTCAGGAGACATCGGAAAACGAAGATGATGACATACTAGCTGACTATATAGCAAACATGGCCGAAAACTACTACGGAGATCTACATAGCTCACTAGCTGGTGCTACAACGCATGAGCCCGAGCATGGGATAGAGATGCTACCTCAGAACTTCGCGGCCCATGCGGCCATTTGTGATTCGATTCGTCATCCCGGCAAGGGAAAATATCCACGTAGGGACATATTGTCGGAACGTAAGCGCAAAGTGATTCTGCCGACAGAATTTATACTGAAATTAGCAGATGGCGAGAGTAATGATGCAATATCATACCCGCTTGACGATGCCGCCTCAGCTAGCAATCAGGATCTACACAGCTCGCAAGCCAGCGACTCTGACGAAGGGAATACTCTTGATACTGACCTAGACATCGAGGGACTTAAGGCCCAAGGGCACCCCGCCCTTTCCCAACGGAACCACAAAGATTCACAATGTGATATATTTGCCTCGGCCACTGCCTTCGCTGACGCCTTGGAAATTGACCCTTACTACGGCTTGGATATCATGGATTTCAGCAGGCCAAGTCTTCGGAGGAAGAAAAGAGGAAAGCATCGCAATCCAGATCTGGTCTTATCAGACAGTGAATTGGAGCTGGAACTAGAGAACGCCTGGCGGAATGACCGCGAGAAGAAGAAGGCCCGAAAACAGAAAAGAGAGGAACTTCGCTCCCAAGGCCTTCTAGGTCGAGGGGCAAGTGACCCAGATCTGAGAAGCAAATATACAAATGGCATGGGTTTTAGTGACTTGAAGATGGAGATACGCGTTTTCCTACTGTCGTCAAGAACCAGGTATGTTTTGTTGCTCCATGAACTCAGCGATGAATGCTTATTGATTAACTTGCATTTCTAGTTTGGCTCTTCCGCCTATGACCAAGCACCGTAGGAAACTGATTCATGATCTAGCAAATGCGCTGTCCTTAAATTCACAGTCACGAGGCAAGGGGTCCTCTAGATTTCCTATCCTGCACAAGAATTCCCGGACTCCGAGGCACACGCAAAAGACCATTTCCTCTATCGACCAAATATTCTCAAAGGGAAGATTTAACCACGCCGCAACCAAACCCTGGGATCGAAAGATTGCGAAGTCTGCTAAACCTCCTCGTGGTCGTCCTGACAGTTCTGTTTCATACATGGATGGTGATATCGTCGGCGCATCTGCCCCCGAAATTGGAGCAGGAAACAAGGGAAGAGAAATACTGGAAAGAATGGGTTGGAGCACGGGAACAGCTCTTGGTGCTACTAACAATAAGGGTATCCTGCTACCAGTCGCGCATGTTGTGAAAAATTCCAAGGCTGGCCTAGGGTAGGCTTACCTCGTCGAGTAATAAGTATGGCCTCACACATCAAAGAATATCCGTGCCACTTCTAGCAATATATGCTATACTAACTGTATGTCATGATTTCCAATAAAACAAAAATAAGACATGCCTGGATTTTGGACGATATAATGATGCCTCCAGTGTACCTGATCCCGACCATAGAAGCCTGCAATGGTAGTGAAACTCTGGCCCGGATAAGGAAAGACAACAAGCAAGCGTCTTTACTCTGTTTATTGCCTCCTTTTTGCGTATCGCTCATGGGTAAGGGTTGAGCGTGATTAGACTCGTGGATATGAATAAACAGTTGTGACCTTGAGGGAAAAATAGCGTAGCAAGTGGCATATTTAATATTCTGGACCTGGCTCATTGACGCTGGGCTTTTTTCGCACATTTTTGTTTAGTCTTTCCCACCTTTGGTGTAATTGTTTGCGAGTCCTCTATTTCAGTCGTTGAGAACTGTTGGGACAGGCTGTCTAGTGATTCCATCTCTCCTGTTTGTTGGGATAACGTGGTTTGGGAACCTAATCGCTGTTCAACACACTTCCTAGGTACATAATCAGCCTCGCTGAGATCTGGCATAGAGTTCCCATGGCATTCTGTGTGCGTCAAAGAACCTTCATCGGGTTTAATTTCAACACTAGTATCAGAGGTATATTTGTCTGTTCTGATACTATTTCTTGTCTCGCTATCGGGTGTTTGTTGCACTGGTGACACCATAGTGTGCACCAGGTCATCCTGTGGGCTGTTACGCGTAGAATCATCCCACTGGGGCTCTTCGGGGTTAGAAACATTTCCTTTAAGGTCCAGCTCTTCATTCTGTGCTCTCATCTCCCGGCGTAGCTGTTTCACAGCTTTTATATGTTTTTTGCTGCGTTCGTGGGCCTCGAACTGATTATGACTTTTGAAGGTTTTATGGCACGCAACGCACTCAAAGTACTCAACTTCGTCCTCACTTGTATCGCTAGATTCCTCATCCAAACTTTCTGCCTTCGCCCAATCTTGCATCACATGATCACGAAGTTTCGCCTGGTTTGCTGCTCGTGATTTGGCTGCTTGTGCAGCTGCTGATTGACGAAGGAATTCCTGCCGTTGTGATTCATTCTGTGCGTTAGACTTGTACCGGGGATCGCGCTTCTTCACAAAAGCTACAAGCGATCTGACAGCCTCATTGAATTCCCGAATAGCATCTTCCCTAAGACGCTTGTTTTCCTTCTCCATCAGCCTGCGAACGCGACGATCTGGTGCCTCGGAGTAACGGTAGACATCTTTCCAGGCGAATGACTTTTTTGTAGAAAAACTGCCCCAGGCAGCATAGAATGGACGTACGACCTCTTCAGGGTCGGCGTCGCAGTTCCCAAATGTAGGATACTGGATGCACGTGATATTCTCCCAGCGACAGGCCATTGTCTCCTCTAAGGCAAGTCGTGCAAATGTCTCACGCAAGGCACCGTAAAATCCGGTTGGCGCGTCTGTAAAGTCCATCCGAGGACTGAATTTTGAAAACAATTTCAGAACGTCGTCGGAGGTTGTCATCCGCGTATCGTACGAATAATCGGCCCCTTCTGGTTTGCCATCGCTTCCCAGGAAGACATCGCGGTGCGAGTCATACCACGCACGCTCCTGGGCGTCTGAGAGAACTTCGTACGCAGATTGAACTTCGGCGAACAGCCTGGTAGCAGCCTCCACGTTGCCGTAATTTCTATCCGGGTGCAGTTCTAGAGCCCTTCTTCTGTAGGCCTTTTTTATCCTAGCGTATCAAATCGATTAAGCATCTTCCTAGTAGATACTTTCTTATATGCTTAAGACTTACTCGTCGCCAGATGCATTTCGTTCAACCTGCAGCAGCTCGTAATAATCTACCTTCTTCTCCTCTGGCTGGGTTAGGGTCGAGCCTGGTCCCTCGTGGCTGTTCGAGGAGTGCGTCTGTCCCATGGATAATTGACCACAGCAGGATATGGTGTTTGATTCGAAGTGAGGGGCATGGAACAGTGGCGGGTTGCGCGGATTGCGGCCTTGTCTAGATTTATCATGTGTGGTGTACAGAAATTGGCGAGGTGGCGGCTATATTTATACAAGGTATACGTGTGTGTGTGTGTGTGTGTGTGTGTGTGTGTGTGTGTGTGTGTGTGTGTGTGCGCGCGCGTATGTCATGAACCATCCCCTATATAGAGTTTGTGGCTATGCTTGATACTGAACACTGGACAATCCCTAGAGAGGTGAAAATTGCATACATGTGAGTGTGAAGGTACAAACGTGAGCCACATAATTAAGATTGAATAATGCCTCCCTGTTCAGCCAAGGCCAATGATAGCCCTCCCAGCGGAATGTAATCTTAATGCTACACATAACCCACCTTTCCCCATCCCGAGGGGTAAAGCTCACATCGATTCAATTTCCGATTGAAACATTCTAGCGGAATGGTTTTATCTCTCGACAGTGTTCCTGAAGAGATACTCCACACTATCCTATGCTACAGCCACCCCTGTTCTGCGGCTGCTTTGCAGCAGACAGCCCATCGATTCGAACGTGCTACCAGCGAGCCTCTATTGTGGCGGTTTTACTGCCAAGTGTATTTCCAGTACTGGGACAGCACACATGATATACTACAAAAATTGTCGGCTCCCATCCATGCAGTAGACTGGAAGGCCTTATATGTATCTAGGCATCTGACGGACTGCACTGCTAGTCATCTGCTGGACAGTATCCTTGCGGGACAAACGGGGAGAATCGAAAAGTTCCATGCACTTATCGACCTTGGGTATGATGTTAAAGATACACTTATAAGGAACATCTCATCAGAATTAGAGACAGATGACCATCTAGCAAGAAGGTTTGTCTTAAATACCTGTTTCTCCATTGAGCTTCGTTGACCGAACTGTGGTGACGACTAAAAGGTATTATGGCAAGGTGCTCCTGACCTGTCTACACCGGAGTATTGCGTTGCCAGTATGGGCTAGACTAAGGAATGGTGGGAATGTAGCACTGGAACGAGCACTGGGCGCTTTCGACCTTTTCATACCAGAGAGCGGATATGGAAGCCTTGACGAAGTGCGTATGCTTGCTAAAAATGGGTAGTGATTGCTAATCAAGCTCTAGATAACTAACAAGCTGGATGAAATCGTTGGACGACTTTCCTCATTATACCCTAGTATAAATATGCTCACAACTCGCGATAAGGCGAGGATTATCGCAGTATATTTGAAGTCAAACAACCTGACTGGTATTCAACCAGATAAGGAGTATCATTGCCTAGAGCACAATTTCTTGGGTGTCGCACTGAATGACCCGAACCATAATTCGCTTCCCCTGGTGTCTGCGGCTATATATTGCTATGTTGCGCAGAGGCTTGGCCTAAATGCTCGACCTTGTGGGTTCCCTTTCCATGTCCATGTTATTGTCAAACCTCCACCAGGACTGGATGTAAATGGCAATGTGCTGGGGCCCGGAGTTTGTGGAGATCCTATCTATATGGACCCATTTCGCTCAGATAGAGAGACGCCAGTCACCAATCTGCAAAGCCAGCTGAACTATTTGGGGGCATCTACTGTCGAACAGTCGACCTTTCTAGGTGAATCTCGGACCTCAGAAATCGTTTTAAGGTGCAGCAAGAATATATTGAATTCGGTCCAACGCATGCCTCAGTATCTAGATGTGCATTTAGAACCAGTGGATACTGTTAGTGCGAAGTACGCTGCCCTTTGGTCGACAATGCTTCTTTCTGACCCCTCTCGGCCGGCCGAGTTTCGACATCATTTACCTTGGCTAATGGAGTTATTTGCCACGGAGTTTCCGTCTGATATATACCTTGTCGAACAGTATGTAGTCCCGATATTTCGTGGGTTGCTCGAATATGAGCATATTCTAGAAAGTCTCCACATCATGCGGGCCGTGGACGAGATTCCAAAGCAGGTGAAACGACGTTTTCCTGGTCGATGCGATGTGAAGTACCGCATTGGTCAGGTTTTCCGACACCGCCGGTATAACTACATAGCTATCATAACCGGTTGGGACACTGAATGCGATGCAGGCGAGCAGTGGATGAGGAGGATGGGGATTGATCGTTTGCAGGGAGGAAGGCATCAAAGCTTCTACCACGTTCTGTATGTTCCTATGTGCAATTGGAAATGCACTGTCAGGCTGACCCATGCTCTAGTGTCGAGGATAGAAGTGTGCGGTATGTGGCGGAGGAGAATATTGAGCTTCTGGTTCCCGATATCTCTGAGCTCCCTACAAACCTTACTGCAGTCGCAGGGAGGCATTTCAGGCGATGGGACGAAGCGACTCGAGCTTTTGTGAGCAACATCAAAGACGAGTATCCTGATGATTGATGGATATTGAGGGCATGCGGTTGAAGGGCTGTGCTTTTATTCTCTGCCTGCTATTGCAGAACGGCCGCGAACGCCCGTCATCAACGCAGCGTCCTATACAGGCTATGTCATAATACAGATGCTTCGAATTCTTATGTATCGGTAATGGCAGTGAATCTATTGAATTTAGTTATACTATTTATAGTATCAAAAATGTGTAGGGCTTATATTTATCGTAGAAAGAGCACTCTGATATTCGGGTTACAGATATTATAGAAAATAAGGAGGAGGTTAATGGTTGGTATTTTCGCATGACAACGGATCTGCTAGGATGTGTGGACTCATGTGTTGGGGCTATATTGGTTGTCAGCTTAGTTTTGGGAACTTCAACCTCGACTGAATGAAGAACAAAAACTGCCGTTATAGAAGCCATAGATATGTGAATGCTGTAGATAACAGATCAAGTCTAGTAGAATGAGTATCTTTCCTGCTCAGAGTACACCATACATACTGCAATCCTACCCAGCCCCGCGTCCTATCTCGGTCTTCTCTAGGAGGGTAGTATAAAGAGCTAGGTCAGCTAGGCAAAGGCGATAAATTAAAATAGCTATCTGTTCTCGTCTCCTCTCCCACCCCAATTCCTTTCTTTTCATATCACATTACTATCGGCCAGGCTTACGGGTTGCTAGCAAAGCTAGAGGGAGAGGAGAAAGACTGCCAGAATATAGTAAGATGGGGGATAAGTAGTATTACGTTTGAAGCACTGGGCCTTTCCAGTTTATTGCTTCTTCTACATGGAACCCAGCCACAAGGCGATAAAGGTCGTATAGCCAGGGTAACTTTCCACGTTGCATCATTTCTTGGGCGGCCCTTGCTTGATATATCCAATGCACTCGCCTGGGCCTGTGGGCCAGCATTGTGGAACACAGGGTCAAATCCAACGAGTCTTTTGTGATTTGCAAGAAGGGACATTTGCCAAGACAATGAGCTGAATACATCCGATGAACGAGATTTTACAAAGGATAATAGACTCTGTGGTCTGTTGCGATGGTGACCGCTATTCGTTGCGGCCTTGGTCACTAAGATCCTAAGACTTGATAGATTTGGGTCATTAGTCGAAATTGTCACCGTATTTGTCGAAGATGTCTGCTTAGAAGAATGGGTTTGCGTCGAGATATTGGACGAATTGGTCGATCATTTCACATAGGAGTTATGGGCTGGCGATCCCTGGCCTAAAATGCAGATGTTTGGAATTGGCTCTTCGTCGGGAGAAATGGCGGTTGCGTCCTCAAAGATAGTTGTTGGCGTTTCGGGATGCCGATGTGGTTCAGGCAACTCGCCTCTGAGGCCGTGCCAGGGTTGGCTGGTCTGCTGCTCAATCTGATTAAATATCGCTTGGCTCGGCCGCGGCGTCCCACGATCAGAATCGCGAATGCTCCGTTGCGTCCACCCCTCCCGAAATATATCGCAAAGTTCCCAGCAAGCCTGAACAGCAGAACCGAGTAACTCTTCGCTCAAACGAGATCCCCCTTTCTTACTCTGGCGTATGCTGAACAACATCTCCGCCAGTGACCAGCATGCGGTTAACAAAGAGTCCATTTCCGTCACCAGAGCTCTTTGCTTCATGAGACGATGACACAGTGTAATATAGAAATCTAATGTCCTCTCCCTAAAGGCGTCGGGCAAGTCTCGATCGTGCGTGTTATACAGGTGGTTGTTGAGTTCAAAGCTGACGCGAAGGACCGAATCCGTTAGTTCATTCTCATGAACTCGACTGTCAAACAGTGTTTGACAAAAGTTTCGGCAGAGATCAAGTGTAGGGCTGATTTGATATGTGTAGTTTTTGTTCTGGCAGGTGTAGAGTTCCTGGCATAACCGCCAACATGATTTCCAGGCCTCTTCTTGCATGTCAGCCCCGGAATTGGACCGCTGTCGGTGAATATAGCTCAAACTGGCCAAAGTATTGCAAAGGGACCAACATTCAGCCAAGGCAATCTTCAATGTCTTCAGTTCGGCTTCTCCGTCGGAGAAGTGCTCGATCGTCAAGTTGAATGTGCCTGTCTCACCCACTTGCCGGCCGGCCTTCTTGGGACCAGTCCCTTCTAGTATATCTACTATACTTTCAGTGCTGAATCTAGCGATCGTTGCCCCATAGGTCGGGGTGGATGGCTACCTTACCCTCAAGATTGCCTGAATGCGATTTTTCGTCGATTTCATCGTCAAAGTCTCGCATTGTCTGCGCTCGAGGAGTCGCTCGCTCAGACCAGTCTTTCGTAGACTCAATTGCAGTAGTCAGCGGTGGCGGCGATAATGGATTCTTAGAGATCTTCTGACAGGTTTAGTTTACCCAAAGATGGCATTAGAAGGAATTGAGTACCTTTTCTGTTCCACCAAAAGCAGGGGGGGAAATATGGTGTCTTTCCCTCTCGGAATCCGCAAAACCATCTGATCGAGATGTAGCTATGCAGCCTGATGACTGTTGCGAATATATAATCTACGTTCGGTACAATTTAGCAGAGCATGTTGCATGGGCGTTAAACGTATATGCAAGGAATACCCACAAAGTCATTGAAGCCAGGGGGTGCATGTATAATAGATTTTGGAGGCTCATCATCATCCTCTTCCAGTCTTTCTTCGACGTTACTGCGCCTGGAACTTGTTAATCGTATCTGTTATGGAGCTCATATTAGTCTGCTATTCCGAACATATGTACTGCTTTCGATTATTTTCGGTGGCTCCTCTATACATACTGCAAATTCTGGTCTACTCGTATTGTCAGGCTGCGGTGAATAAGAAGTAACTGTAGACGTGACCGCTAGCCCAGTTTCATTATCATCCATATTTTGAGTATCAGCTCTTGCCCCATCGAGCATATATGGCAAGGGAAGGAGATGGGGGTTGCTCGTTAGCCTGATTTTTGATATAGACAAATAGTTGTCGGTAGACCTGCCCTGGTCAATCACAGGCAAACAATATATCAGATCTCACTTACATTCTGATATAATACACGCTGGGATTCAAGAGCCAGTATATGGTAAACAGGCAAGTATCATATTGTAGCTAACCCCAGGGTGAGATGATTGATAATTTTACACCTTCAACATACCGTGGGCGGATGTCTCAAAATCAACTATAGACTAAATGGGAGTATGGTATTCCTATTCGCATGTTGGCATTCGCAAGGGAGGGGAAAGCCCCGCGCGCTCTTCCAGGGCATCTAATTAGATCCTTGTCTGCTAGCTAGGACCTCCATCCTACCAGACCTTAGATAAAGCTTTCAGAAAATATATATATTGTTGGCCATAAGTTGATGTATTTGTCTAAAAGTACAGGGTGACACCAAAACCAGTACATATTCAGTGAATATGGATATTTGACGGAACAACAATGTACTCCACTCCGTAGTGTATGTAGATATACTTAGATAATTTCTTACAGGTTGATATTCTGCCAGTACAGTTTTACTGCCTTGGTAACGGCTTTAAGGTTTTAGTTGATTATATTTTTTTAATTTAATTAGGTTGATATATTGAGTAATATTATTATACTATTATTACACCTGGGTATTTGTTATTAAGTTCTGATAAATAAACTAATATATATAGAGATATATGTTATGGAATCTGTGTAGCTGACCTTGATCTATTATAAGTATTGATGGCAAGTAAACTAATTACAGGGATCCTTAATAAATAAAACTATCGAGAATATAAGATATAGAAATATTATAATAATTATATAATAGTAGACTATTTATATATTATAAAATAATTTATATTTAAATTATATAAAAATAAAAATCAATAAACTATTTAGTAAACTACTTATAATTCATAAAATAATTTATATTAAAATATCATAAATATTATAGAATTTAAAATATATAAAAATATTTATTTTTATAGTATTAATTAATTTTTTTATATTTAATTTAATATATTATTTAAAATATAGTTTTAATAATAATTAATTTTGATTTATATATATTTCTCTAATTACCAAATATATATAGTTAATAAACTTTATATTATCTGGAACCCTAGTCCTAAATAGGAAAAGCGCTAGGGCTTAAGTCAATAAAGAACTAAAAATAGAATTGATTAATTAAGAGATAATAAGATAAGACTAAATAGGTCTAAGCCCTAGGTAAATAAATAAATAGATCCTTAGGATTTTATATTATAGATCCTGTTAAGATTATCTATTAATCAGGGTAGAAGACCTGTTAACTAGGTAAGGATACATAGGCAAAACAATAGTAAATAGTCTATAGATAGAGACTGATTCTTAATTTTTCCTCTACTATTTTTATAGCTTATTTATAGTTAGGAATTTTTAAGATTCCTTATATAGAGTACTAAATCCTTAAAAAGAAACTATTATTTATTATTAAAAAAGTAACTGTTATAGATATCAAAGGTATTATCTAGTTTTTAAGATATCTATATATTTAAGATAGAATATACTATATAGTTATTTTATATAATTATTATAAATTTTATAATAATTATACTTTTTTTTCTAGGCTATCTATTTTTAGATAGCGGTAAATATATTATTTATATTAAATAGTTATTATTTTAAAAATATAGTAGATATTTTATATAGTAATATAAAATATTATTAAGTAAATAATAGTTATAAATAATAATAGTATTAATATTAATAGATATTAGATAAGCTTTTTATTATTTTTATGTATTATTTTTATTTATTTTATAATTTTTTTTCTATGTATTGTAA